TGTCAGGTGACTGCTGACTATATAAGCGGTGGAACCCGTCCCATTACTGCACTCAGAGGTAAATCACTGAGGACTCACAATACTGTCACAGCCTTGAAGAGCATCTGGGTAAGAATTGTTTATTACATAGGAATTTGTTATAATACACAGTTATGTTATACAAACTTTTTGTAATGTATATTTTACTGAATGTATTCTTCTTAACCCTTTAACGTCCTCACCAAAAAAAAGCAATGGATTTTTATTTCTTTTTGTATTTTTTATTTGTTTGGGGCAATAATAAAAACAATTGGTGTTCTTTTTTTTGTTTGTTTTTTTGACCCCACAATTTTTAAAATATTCACGTCTACCAAACGGTCGAGATGGCATATATAGTGACTCAAAATATGCTCTACCAAATGGTTGAGCAGAGCATTAAAGGGATTAAAAAGGGATATGCTGTTCACTTTTGTTTTTGCAATAATCTATTAAATGGCATGAATTCATTCTTAAACAGGACCATCAATTTTACCATTCAAAAAATGTCAGGTGGTGCAGCCACACATTAAAAACATTAGAATAAAGTATTTTGCCACTATTGAAAAAGTGTATAAACTAGTCTTTTGGGTACTTGGAAACCCATATAGACCTTTGTTCTTGAACTCTGACTGAAACCAGCCTAACCATAAATCAACATGTTTAGTCAAGCCTTTGGTAATTAGCTTCCCATTAGATAAAACAAGCAGATCTAGTGGTTCATGGGCACAGAGAATTATGGTAAACTGGGAGTGTTGGTGCTGTCGTCCTGCTGCTCTCACGCGTTCACTCAGGTTTGTTGACAGTGGAGTGGAGGGGGAAAAATTATGTTTTTTCAGTGTTTGTGAAGAGGGCTATTGACCACTGCAATTCCACACAATCCCACCAAACTATTTTATTCGGAAATGCATATAAACCTATTACCTTTTTTGATAGTTTACAAAATCTGCATATATGATCGGAACGGTTACCCCACTTGACGTTTTTAAAAAGACCGACACGCCATGCCGTATTGAAAATATCCAGCACAAGTCAGTTCAGCCAACTTTTGCCATGAATAAAACAAACTTGCCCCACATAGATCACTCAGTTCAAGCGATCTTGATATAAACTGCTAAAATAAAATAATGGTGCCACAAAGGGTTCTTTGAGCTGCTTTTATTTCCCTAACGAACAATATTTGAAAGAAAAAAGTGTCTTTTAAAGGTTAAAAGAACCTCCACATATCGTAAAGGCTCTAAACCAATTTAAGGGTTCTTCTGAGAACATCTACATTATGTGGAGGTTCGTTTTTCTACATTAAAAATGAAAAAAAAATTATATGTACAAATTACAAATCATTTACAAATTATGGTCTCTGAAGAACCATCCACTAAAGGTTTTTTGGGGAACCAGAAGTAGTTTCTCTATTGCATCATGCAAGGAACCCTTTTTTTTCATGTTCCCATTGTTGCTGGTTTCCATCCACCAACATAAAGACCTGAAAAGAAGAAAATGAACCTTGAATGCTCAAAGAACTCTTTGCATGATTAAAGGGTTCTTTGCATGATTAAAAGGTCTTCAGATTGATGGAGAATGTGCTGTATATGGTTCGATATAGAGCCTTTTTGAAAAGGGTTCTTCTATTGTTATTATGTCAAGCCTGTAACAATAGAAGAACCCTTTTTGTTGCTAAATAGAACCATATAAAACTCATTCTCCATCAATCTAAAGACCTTTTAATGATGCAAAGAACCCATTAATCATGCAAAGGGTTCTTTGAGTGTTCATGATTCTATGTAGAACCATTTTCTTTACTAAGGAACCCTTGAAGAACCATCTTTTTTAAGTGTGAACTTATATTAACCAGTTTTAGGGGCATCCCTTTGTTTACAATGTCATGCTGTGGAAGTTCTCAACAGTCGGGTTACTATAACAATACATACTAGTGCAGCAGCTGTTTGAGCATGTTTTAAGGCAATGGGGGTCCAACCCAACTCCTGAAGAGCTACCTTCTAGCAGAATTTAGTTCCATGTACCTGCATCCCATAAGCTGCCCTGCCCCTTACTTAACTCTAATACATCTGACCCAGCCAATAGGGGGCTTGGAAAGCGGCTGGTTCACTGGAGCAGGTGTGGCAAACTCTGGTAGGTACTAGCTTCTGCAGGAAGGTAGCTCTCCAGGAGCAGGATTGAAGACCCCTGGTTTAAGGGGCACCTCACTATCAACAGTCTTTGTTCAAGTATTGCAAATATGATGATGCGTCACAGGGGTTTGTCTCGGCCTCTCCCATCTTATTCTTCAGAGTGAATGCTTTCTTCTGTCGTCTCACCCTGTTTGATTATTTGCAGTTTACATTACATTTACAGCATTTAGCAGACACTCTTATCCAGAGTGACTTACAAAAAGTGCTTTGACTATCCAGAGAAAGTATCTTTGCTGGTTACCAATAGGTTAGAGAGAAAGTCAGTCCTGAGCTCAGATACTGCTAGAATCAGAAAGTCATTATTGACACCTAGAGAAAAAGGAACAGAGTTAAACACAGAGCAGTGCAATACAATACAATACATAAGTGCAGTACAATAACTGCGCTGCAGTTAAAGCCGCAAACAATCCAGTCTGCTTTGTACACACTTGCCTTTTACATAAACACAAAAACCGTTAATGTTAATAATAATAATGCATTTTGTTCCACTGTGTACTTGTGTGCAGACAGTGGAGAGTAATGGGAAACGCATCTCCGTCATCAGGGATGTTGGCAGTGTTGATGGTGGCGATGTTGGTCTCGGGTTGGACTGAAGGAAGCATGTTGAGTAAGTGTGAGGTGAAGTCTCAACTGGAGGCAGCCTTTGAGGCGCTGCAGAGTGTCACTGCTGACAACAACCTTGCTAAATGTAAGTTCATTTTCCTTTAAACAAAAAAGTTTGAATGCCCCCAGTCAAATGACCTTTTGTTGATTTTCTAATTGAAAATAATTAACACATCCTCTACAGAGTGTCATGTCCTTACTGTTATGCATACTGATCTTCTAGAACATGAATGTGTCAAAAAAGCTCAGTTAAAGCTGCACTATGTAAAATTTGGGGATTTGGAGACCTCTCTGGTGGAAATGTGTAATTGCACACAATGTGTCGAAAAACATGTTGTAAACTGGGTTGTGCTTCGAGACCCCTTCCCTGAGCGGATGAATCTGATGATTGAAAGTGTGTTGAAAGAGTATTCATAGAGAACTCAGTCAAAACTTGGTGAAGAACTTCTGAAATATCTTCATCAGTGTAATTTAGGTTTTGTATTTGACATCTAAACATCGAGCCAGATCTTCTTTTTGAGCCCACTGCGTAGGATATTAATACGTAAAGACGTGCCCAAAATATGATGTGATCCAAAATACTCCCGACTTAACACTTAAAACGATTATTTCAGGCTTTAAAGGCCGACTCGCAGCAGCACACATGCCATGTTTTAGCATGTTTTTTCCCATCTTGACTCATTAATGGTACTTCTTTCATATACTGTATTAACATTACAGGCAGTTTAAAGCTGCACAAGGTATGGAAGGAAGGAGGAAGAGGCCCAAAGCACAGCCCCACGTTACAAATATTGTTCCTCATGTTGCATGCAATTACACTTTTCCACCAGAGAGGTCTCCAAATCTCCAAATATTACATTATGCCACTTTAAGTATAGTGGTAATAATCTGAATATGATATTCTGAATAAGTTCTAACTTTCTTTTTTGCCTTACTCTCTAGTTTTATTTGAAATTCTGGTTATATTTATCATGCACTGTTAGAAATAAAGGTTCTGTTCAGGTAAAGTTCTTGTTCACCAAGGTACAAACAATGTAGATGTACGCTCAAAGGTACAACAGGGGTTTTAAGGGGATCCAATTGTGTCCCATAAATATGTTTTATCCAGTGGAAAAGTACATATTTGTATCTATTTTCATAACCTAACAGAACAATAAAATAAAAAGCCTGGAGACGAGACGGGGTGTGTGGAGTCAATACAACTTAGAAAATATAATTTTAGTGGATAATGGTACAGTTATGTTCCCTGACTAAAGGTACTGAGATGTGCCCTTGAGGGGACCACCCCAGTGACAAGACGGGGCACTGCCTCAATGACAGTTTAGAACCTTTATTTCTGAGAGTGTACCTGCAATGTTTTATATGCTCAGTCAGAGATATCCTATAGTTTGAGTTTACCATCTCTCTCTGTCTTTTTTTTCTGCAGGGGTCTGCACAGTGGAGGCAACCTCAAGGTTTAATACTAGTCTTGTGACCATAATTGACCCCTCCAGACCTAGACGTCTGATCAGACGTAGTTTTCCCATAGATAATGGGCCAACACAAGAGGTGATTGCAGATTATTTTGAAGACATGTTCTCAAAAGAAACACTGGTCACTGAAAATCCTGATGGAACTTCCTTGATTCCTGAGGGAATGATTTCAACACAAGTGGCTGAAGAGCTATCAATCCCTCCGGAAGCGGTGATTGAGGATTTCATTCCTGCAAGCTCCAGTCGCCAACCAAAAGAAAGACTTGCTGAAGCTTCCACACAGGATAACAAACCATCTGAGCGAAATCCAATTCACTCTGTAGATAGACAGGGTCGGGATCACAGGAAGGAGAAGGTACATGAAATCAAAACTAGAGAGGCATCAGGTGAAATAATAGATTTTTCTGGAGATTATTCTGGTCAGGGTTCCAAAGAAGAGGCATCTGGAGAAGCGCCTGAGGGATCAGGTGATCTCACTGAGGAACCACTAGAGCCACCCTTCTCCACACCACAGTATCCCATCGATGACACTGTTCATCCTGATAGTGGTTATGGACATGTATCAGGTGATTACACTGAGGAACCAGTAGAGCCACCCTTCTCCACACCAGAGTATCCTATTGATGACACTGTTTATCCTGATAGTGATCTTGGACATGGATCAGGTGATCATACTGAGCAACCAGTAGTGCCATCCACATCCTCACCAGAGTATCCTATTGATGAGACTTTTTATCCTGGTTACGATTCTGGAGAAGGCTCAGGTGAAGGATCAGGTATAAGACCACATTTCTCATACAAACAGTACTGGAATCTACTGTTCAAGAGGAAAATAGTGTCCTCATTCAAGCTCACAAAAAGTCCAGTGGACTCCCGAGAACTTCTGTCTGAACCCCCAAGAACAAGATCTTGATCTTGGCGATGGACCATACACGACTTATGATCCTAGTCAAAACCACAAGGTCCTGTATGGAATATTCCAGCTGAGTGATGATGTGGCATGCCAATCAGAGTCAAAACCCAGTCGGAATCTTTGTGAGCTGGACTGTAATGGTGAGCACAGCTCAGTATATATTCTCATGTTTTACTTCATTTACTGTACCTACACCTTTTTTATATACTATTTTAGAAAAACACTGAAGTTTAGTCAAATTTTACCAAAAGCAGTTTTAGGTTCTCTATATAACGTTGACATATAGAGTTGTATGTTTTGTTGATTGAAATTTAACACATTCTCTGTGGGGAACGCACTTAAATATGGCATTGTTTCTATTAGCACATTACAAAAAAATCAAGAAATATAAAATATGTACAGGCCAGTATGTTTCCAGTATGTTAAATGAAACAGTAATTGTGTATCAAATGTGCAGAAGTGTGTTCTCTGCAGAGGACACCTTAATTTATGTCCACTTACAAAATCAACAAAACATGGAATTTGACTGGGGCACCCAAGCCTTTGCACACAACTGTATTTACAGAATTTTAGTACATTTTTAGAAAATGTTTAGTCATAATTGTTTTTGCTCATTTTTTTTGCTCTATCGTATGTGCCAAGTTTCTTATTATTCTACTTTTCTTCTTCAAGTTCTGATTAATGATGACATCAGTGATGACATTAAGTGCCTGATGACTTTGAAACAACTGTATGTACACACACACACACACACACACACACACACACACACACACACACATACACTTGAGCTAGCTTCAAAAACGCATTTACAACAAAGCTAATGCAAGGTAGCACTGTTACTTTTGCTTAAAAGCAAATTGGGCTCAGCAAGCTCGGAGAGCACTAACTGCCATTTCTGTTGCATCAGCTAACAGACAGCTAGCATTATGCTACTGATGGAATGAGAGGGAGGACCATCATACCCACCCAGAGAGGGCATTACACTCTATATTCTATGCTTATGGAAGGCTGTGGCATCGCTGCAAAAAATATTTTTCCAAATCCATTCACACAAGGTGATTTAAGGCAAAATAGAACCCAAAGAAAAATGAACTCATCAACAATCATCAACATCACATATAAAAACTCAGAAGACACATGTAGGTTCAACTGATGGCTTTGGTTAGTAAGGGAAATGGCTATATTTGCTATGCAGACATCACAACTCCTGGTTCCTATCACTACCAGCCTAAGTTTCTTCTTTAGTCAAAGTATTTTTAATATGCATATTTAGAATGTTGAAATATTTAGTAGCATATTTAACTTTGATGCTTCATTCTGTGTCAGAAAATATAAACACAATTGTTTCAAGTAACTTGTTTACCTTCAAATTTGGAGTCTAGATTATTATTCTAATAGTTTACTATTAGAAGTTCAAAGAAAATTAAAAATGTTTAAAACATTAAATAAATGATGTACGGTGCTCATGATTGACACTTTGCTGTATTTCACAGGGAGGAAATAACGGTCGCAGAGGAGTGTCACTTTGAGGAGCTCTCAGGCTACTTTGAAACGTGTGACTAATACAACTGCTTTCTATGACTGTATTCTGAAGTCATCCTGATACTCCTGATACTCCAAATTCCAGCTTTTTAGATGCATTAAGCAAAAAATATCTATGACCCAAAACATGTTTATGGTTTGTTGTGATGACTGAGCTCTGGTTCTATAACACTCAGCCTTGATATCTCAGCAGAAATCAGATGACATGGTATAAAACCTGACTGGTTTTGCAGTAATGCTGCAATTCCAGCACTTCTAATGCAGTGGGTGCCGGCAGAACTTGGCTTTCATGTTGCAGCACAGTGCAAAATAAACACTGACGTTACTTTAAGTTTGATTTGATCTTATCACCGGAACATTGTGTGCTGTACTGACTCTATGGTTTTGTGTGGTTGTAGTTAAATACGTATCCAAACAGTTTAAATAAAGCTTCTATACTTCTGTTCTTAAGGCATTACATTGTGTTTTGTGTTGAAAGTCTGTGACCTGATGGGACAGTGTTTCTTTCATTGTAGCTACTCTAATAACCCTTGTGTGGTATTCAGGTCTGTGGGACCCAGATTCCGTGGCCTTCGCTCATTTTCTCTGAAGAACATATAAAATAACACATTTTCAATGACTTCACACTGTTCATCCCCTACATGTTTATATTCAGTTATATGTGTGTATAGAGTTGAAAACTCATTTCAGACTTTTAACTGACTTTAGACTAAATCCCTTTGACTGAACCTAAACCTTGATTACCATTATTTTATTAAAATAAATGATAGAACATTTGATTTTGTCCCTACCAAAACAATCATAACACTACCCAAACTTTACCAAATGTTTCAGTAGTGATCGTTTCAGTAGTGACCATTTAAACTCAACAAATTTCAGGCAGAACTCAAAACGCTAGCCAATACGTGACTAGCAAACACAGCTTTGAACAACTGTACACACATAAATTCAAAGAGCCTGGTGATTTTGGGGTCCATCTCTGGGTCCATCTGGTTTCCTGAAGGCTAGCAATTTGATCCCTGGCTCACTGGAAAAGACACATGACCTTCTACTGACATGTGGAGTTTGGCTTCATTCTAACGTTTAACGGCTGATCTATAGTGCTTCAAAGATCAGATATCGAACGTTGTTAACTCTGTTTTCCCGAAGACTACAATAAAAAGTCATGTGTCGTTGAAAAGGGGGACATAAGGCCCAACGATTCTGTAGAGTTTGAAGTTGGTTACTTGTATTTTCGCCGAGTTACAGCACTCTAAATTCCTCTGGCTCAGACCTCTGATGTGGCCGAGCATCTCGGCAAGCCCACCTAGGGTGCGGCTAAGTTGAATACAAATTTGTGGGATTCTGGTGTCCATGTCTCCAGTTCTCCGAAGACTAGCAATGCAATTGCTGAAGCACACTGGGCAAATTATTAGTGTGGTCATAATTCTATGAATATTAAAATAATAGCACTATTGACCAGTTAACCACATTTTAAATACAGTTTCACTCTGGAAAGACCAGAAGTGATTTTATCCTGTTTTCAATTATGTGATGTGAATAATGTAGTACATTGTATTCCCTGTATTTATACTCTGTTTAAAATCTTCAGTTACAGTAATGTTACAGTAATCCATATAGAGCACTGCAGGTAACGGGAAATACTGTAATACACTGATTATTTATTTATTTATTTAGTTGCTTTAGTTGTGTAGAGCGCTGATGCTCGCCACTTTTTTAAGCAAAACGAACAGGAATAACGTTAAGGTTCTGAGCAGCGCTCACTCGTCTGTGAGATACACTGATCACTGAATGCAGCATCATTTCATAACTGATTGGTAACTTCTCTCATGGCAGATTTTTGCCATAAAACCATTCACACAAAGCAGAGGAACTTTCCTGAAGTGACTGCTTCACTTGATGATGGCCGACTGTCTCACTTTAACTAGGGTCACCGAAAGACTGGCCATGCTCAGTGTGAGGGTGGCACTGACCACCCCTGCCACCTCCCAGAAGGCCTATATGATTTCTGGAAGCAAAAACATACACGTCTGTAATTTTTAGTTCATTTTTTATCAGTGGAATCACTGAAAAAGCATCTGGAGGTTCTACATACATCACTGACTGTGAAGACGAGCTGCAGTCCAATCAATGAGTTGTTGGAAATGGATAACAGTGGCGGCAGCTCTATACCAGAGCTCACTACTCAAAGAGTCACTGTGAAACTATTGCAAGATTAAAGTATTGTGGCGGCTGCCACTTGCTCCAGTTTGCAGAGGGGGCTCTAGAGGCGTGGTATGTAGAGCTACGCCATGCGTCCTGCCCCCTCTGCCAAAGGGACTGTAAAAGTTGTTATTGTTGCTATTGTTCTTGTTGCCCTTTAGTTCAAATGTGTGTTGAGTGTGTTTTGGTGTACTGGGCTGTGGGGTTAGTTTATGTGGGTTGGTCATCATGGAGCAGCAGTATGGGGCTTGTGTTGACAGACCCTCCAGCTCCCCCCTGACCCCAATGCATTGTTGTAGCAGTTTTTTCCCTTCATGGCCCAAATTGAAGGCCTAGCTCTATTAGTTATGGCTCACCACTGTATTTGTCTTGTAGACATTATGACACCTGGTTCCAGTCATCACCACTGTACAGAAAATCTGAGTTGATAAATCTCTCCACTATGACGTCCAGGGCGTCTTATTAGAAATCTCTGCAGGTCAAGAACCCCCAGTGGTTGGGGTCCCAGGACACGTAAGCCCAGTTGGTAATTCATCCCTGTAGACTACACAAGGGACTGGGGACCACAAAATTTAGTAATACAGCTAGAAATGGTGGCCCAAACAAATAAATATAGCTATTCTTATTGTTTAAAAGGAAAAAAACAAGTGTTTATTACTTAATACCCAAAGTATTTTACAGTCCAGCTGTATGCAAACATTTGAACACCCCTGATCAAATCACATTATGCTGAAAATAAGTTAACACAGCCTCTACAGAGACACACTAAGTTACTTTTAGTGGAAAATTTCTATTTGCTGTGTTTAACATATTGGAAAAGGCATTAAATATAAAATGTACTCTATGTTTTTCACGGGCCACATTTTATGATTTAATGTAACTTTTAATGTTAAATCAGAAACAGTGTGCAGATGTGTGTTCTCTGTAGAGGATGTGTTATCTTACTTTCACTTAGAAAACCGACAAAAATATGTAATTTGACCAGGGGTGCCTAAACTTTTACTCATGAGGGGGCAAAAAAGTAACAGTAATGACGACTAAATGTTTAATGAAAAGACAAGTAGTTAAACATTTTCAGCGTGACTAATCGTCTTTGTTTTTGTTAAGAAAATGAGCTGCCCTGCACTGTTGCACCTAAAGATTTCATGATTATTGTCAATAAATATTAATAAAGCAATAAGTGGCCCCAGTAACAGCATGTGAAATTCAGAGGAAGACACTGACCGAAGAATATATGCAGTTTAATTTATTTTAATTTCATCATTCATTTCATTTCAGTAGTTTCAGCTGGGAGTAGCTAGGAGCTATGGGACATTTCCAGGCCTCCAGTAAAGAGCAGGAGCCAATCAGGATCAGGTACAGAATCAACAGCTGGAGAAATACTGGGAGTTCTCCGCGGTGTTGCACTCCTTCTTGTGGAGAGCACCGAAACTGCAACAGAGAAAACAAACGAAGAGATTTTGTATGTTAAAGCCATTCTATGGTATTTCAAGCTGTTTCTTTACAGTCTTTTGATGTCTCTAGAGCTTAGATCAAATACTGTACTCTGCTATGAATCACTATGTGAATGTTTCTCTTCCATTCTCTCCACATGATGTTCATTTTACCAGAGTAAAGGCTCAGTGCTCAATCAGAGCTTCTTCAGGTTCTTTGGCAAGAAAATGTCTTTGTTGTGGTTATAACTGTGCAGTGTGTCCTTAAAAGTACAACATACTACTACAGTCGTATGCAAATGTTTGAACACCCCCATCAAATGACGTGTTTTGTTGATTTTCTAAGTGGAAAAAAGTGAACATATCCTCTACAGAGAACACACTTCTGCACATTTTAATAGACGATTACTGTTTATTTACTGAATTTAACATTAAAAATTACATTGAATCATAGATTGTGCAAAACATAGGGTACGTTTTATATGTTATGCTTTTTTCCAATATGTTAAACACAGCAAATAAATAAATAAATAAAAATTAATTAATAAAATAAATAAATAGAACATAAAACATGGCCTGTGCAAAAGTTATGGCACATTCTATATTTACCATAAGGTTTATCTTTTTCAATTTGTTAACTTAAATAAACAGAAATTGTGCACTAAAATTAGCAGAAACATGTCGTATGTAAGTGTGTTCTCTGTAGAGGATGTGTTCTTTTCACTTATTTTCACTTTTCAAAATCAACAAAACGTCATTTGATGGGGTTGTTCAATATACAATATTGCATGTTGCTAAGACTTTTTATAAAAAAATTCAGTTTTCTGTGAATTACATTAAAGGGTTATTGACTGCAGCAGATAAACTGAGGAAAATCTGTTTGGATGCTGAAGACAAAACAGAAAAGAGGGCCAAACTAACTGACTGTTTGCTTGCTTGATATATTTTCTACTCACAGTTTCAGGAAGGCGTTTTCAGCGCGTCTGGGTTTTTTGCCTGCTGGCAGCCTGTTGTGATTCATGACACAAAACATTGAAATGTTTTAAATGTTTGATATTGAAAATTAAGGCAAATAGACCAGAAGTCAGTTATTGTCATGATGGTTTATAACACAATACAACTATTTTAACCACTTTTTATTTAGGCTGCTATAGGCTTATATTATGTGTTATTTTAACTAAGACAAAAAGTGAAAACCAACAGAGAAAAAAATTAAAATGCATTAAAAACTAATTTTCCTAAACATAAGTACAGTAACATAAAAGTGTAATTTAAATTGTTAAAGCCAACAAAAACTGCTTCATCATACTTAATTGGATACTAAATCTAAACACTATTAAGCGTAAAACTAAAATACATTAGCAGTCACAGCCAATGTGGCTTAAAACACATTGAAACTGAACATTAAAAAACAAATAGCAATAATAACCATGGTAGGAATTTAAGTATTTTTGTAAAAACTGTTAGCTTGACTGATTTTTACTCACAAGTTGTTTATGATGGTCCCCAGACAGGATATGTCATCTGTGATGTTACTGTCCAACAGACCTTTAAGGAGGAAATTTAGTCAGTGAGCTGCACATTTAATTTGCTCTCATTTTAGTGAAAAAATCTGTGTAAGAGAAATAAATGAAAATTTGTACATTGAATTTGCAAATGTAATTGTTAAACTTAAGTAATTTTGTGTTTGTGCCGACTGAGGTGGAATGTTCCAAATGTACTCACTGTTGCAGGTCATGTTGCAGAGGTTGAGAGAGAATCCAGATCCCGAGGTGCAGGCGACTGGGCCTGGCAGCTGGAACAGGCCGTAGAGGGTCCACACTTCAGGGTCATTTGATTCCTCACTGCTTGACCTGTGTGCAGATCTAGCATGGCGTTCACCCTGACCTCTTCTTGGGAGAGAATCATTACCCTGGGGACCAGTCGGTGGGGTCATGTGAGCAAAGTAGTGCATGATGTCATCTTCACTGGACTCCTCACTGGACTCCTCACTGGATTCTACACTACTTGACTCATATGTAGACCGAGCATGACGTCTACCATGACCTCCTCTGGGGAAAGAATCATTACCGTGGGGATCAGTTGGTGAGGTGATGTTGGCAGAGTTGGGGATGATGTCATCCTCACTGGACTCCTCACTGGACTCCTCACTGGATTCCACACTGCTTGACCCGTGGGCAGACCTAGCGTGACGTCTACCATGATCTCCTCTGGGGAAAGAATCATTACCATGGGGATCAGTTGGTGAGGTGATGCTGGCAGTTGGTGGAGTGATGCTGGCAGAGTTGGGGACCATGCTTTCCTCACTCGACTCCTCACTGGATTCCTCACTGGATTCCACACTGCTTGACCCGTGGGCAGACCTAGCGTGACGTCTACCATGATCTCCTCTGGGGAAAGAATCATTACCATGGGGATCAGTTGGTGAGGTGATGCTGGCAGTTGGTGGAGTGATGCTGGCAGAGTTGGGGACCATGCTTTCTTCACTGGACTCCTCACTGGATTCCTCACTGGATTCCACACTGCTTGACCCGTGGGCAGACCTAGCATGACGTCTATCATGACCTCTTCCAGTGCAATTACTTTGGGGGTGGGCTGTACTAGTATTAAAACCTGGTTGAGGCTTACTGTGCTCATTCGCATGTGATTCCTTACCGTTTGAGCCACGTGCAGACCTGACACGGCGTGCACCACGAGTACTTCCAGTTGAAGATACATTGCCCTCTGAGGAGGTGGTTGGTCTGATCGTAGAAGAACCAAAACCAGATTTAGGCTTACTGGGGGCATCCTCACTGGATTCCTCACTGGATTCCTCACTGGCCATCCTTGATGCAGACCTAGCATGGCGGGAACCGTGCTTTTTCTCGTGAAAGGTGATGTTGGTGACTACACTGGTATTGAAGGCAGTAATCAGCTCCACATTGCACACAACTGCAGAAACAGGAGAAGAGATGTTGAAAGGCAAGAAAAAGAAATGTTGAATGTTAGGGTGGAACAAACACTGCAGCGTCTTGCCACATTGAAAATAATGATGCAGTGAATTCACTGGACTCAAATGTGCATAATTTTTTTCATGAGTAACCTTACTTCTGCGCAGTTCTGCCTTTATGTGAATTACTTTTTAAACTTTTTAATTTTTTTTCTTTATTATCCACTTTTCCAACATTCCAGCATTCAGGGTTGGTAATTTTTACCAAGGATGCCAATCAGGGACATCATTAGACCAGTTTTAGGGGTACTTCAGTCCCCCTCTAACGTTATTTAGCCCCATTAAATAAATGTACATTATTAATTCAAATCGCCAGTAGTTTTTCTCATTCATGCTTCATTTTTCAACGGTTATTCACAACGCAGCAGGGGGCAACCCTCTGCTACTTTGCATCGGGTAAAAGAGTAACCCCCTGCTCACCCATTTATATCAGAGATAGTAAGTTGTAACAGAGCCGGTTTATGAGGAGCCTGGCCTCTTCCTGTTTCCCCCGTTATATCAAAAACAGGGCTGCAGAACAGCAGCGGGCGCCCGTGAGTGAGTCCCCAATGAATGGGGGTGAATGGAGCTCAATGGTTAAAAAAGTTAAAATAGTTTCTAATCACCTAGAACTTTCCTTTAATTTTAGAAAGTAGAAGCTTGTATTTTATTAAAAAAAGCAAAGAAAACCTACCTGTACACCAACATACATTAAATTAAACAGATTCATCTCTAATTAAGTCTTGAGTTTTTGTAAATCTAAGTTTAATAAAAAATAATGTGTAACTAAACACAGGCGAGGAGAGGCAGAGAAGTAAGGTGAAGGAGGCTGACAGAGCTGAAGGAGCAGGTCAGATCAGGTACTAATCTATAGTCTTTATGCCTATTGCGTCTCTAAAAGTTTATGATGAAAAAGCATTTGGGGCTGTTTAAAAAAAATCTCCTTGGGGAGGCTTGCACCCAGATCCCCCCAGTAAAGCCTTAGTGATGTCCCTGGTTAATGCATTTGGTTGACATGTAGATAAAGCGATTTAAGATTTGTGGGATTTGTTAAGGTTAGACTTTTGGCTTTTGGTTCATTCATCATGAAATTTACCCACAATGTGAAGGTGTATGTGTGTGTACATATATATATATATATATATATATATATATATATATATATATATATATATATATATATATATATATATTGATACTGGTTCATACTGGCTTTCATGGTGCTCAGGAGAAAGGTTTACAGTACTTAATTCAAAATTTGAGTTGGATTTTGAAAATTTCAAATTTCAGTTCACAATTTTTTAATTTAATTCAAGTTCAAAACTCTCTGCCTACAAAATATAATAAGACCTAAAACAGATAAACTCAGTCTTTTTGGTCAAACTGATTCTGGCTCTAATGCCTGTTTAATGCTAATGACAGTCACCTTCACCATAAACAGATACGTGTATGACGAAATGTACAGTTTACTCACTCTTGGCCATCTCATTTTTGATGCGGTCCAGCACGGTTGCAGGCAGAGTCATGTTCAGTTCCTGTCTCAGCTCACACTTGGTCAGTCCTTCACCTCCACGGGCAGCCAGTGACACCACCACCAGCACGGCCAACATCTCCACTCCAGCACGGGCCTGCATCCTGCTGCGTTTGTGTCTCCTCTGTAAACTGTGCAGGTACCCGGACTGTTTGCTGTTATATATAGTCCCCCAACTCTCCAGAGAGTGGTCTGTTTTTAGCTGAGTCACAGAGATGTGCAAAATCTAAAAAGGTCACTGGATTGGTTTCAGGGTGGACTGGCGCTGGATTGTTTTCAGGTGTTATTATTATTGTTATTTAAAAAAAAACAGGTTTTTCTACTTGTGCGTGACATTCATTTTTAGAAGAGGTATACAATACTGCTCTGTTCATAGCACTGAATGTGTGTGTGTAAACTGTATGAACATGAGACTTTGGAAAAAGGTCAAAACTTAGCTCGGCGACATCAAGTACTGGACATTTTCAATGGGTTATATGAGACGTAGATTATATCTGCTGTCTGAAATATAATAGAGCAATGAAGACTTGAATGAGAAGCGCAGAGAACAAAGCAGGGACGTGAGTGAATTGCGTCGAGACCAGTAAAAACGCACAAAGAGACACACAGGACAAGAAGAGCTGTGCAATTCATACATGACTAAGTATCAAATCAGCCCATTCGTGACCAGCAGCCTAATTTATTATTATGATGAGGAAAAATGACAAAGAACATGTTCTAAAATTTTGTTTAGTTATACATATCAGATAAACATCTAACAGTACTCAACTTTTTTAATGATGTATGTTTTTCATACTTTATTTCACAGTCAAATTTCAATAGAAATTTCGATTGTTTTGTTTAAAAGCAGTTAAGCAAGGCAAGGCAAGTTTATTTATATAACACCTTTCATACACTGCAGTCATTCAAAGTGCTTCACAAATGAAAAAATACAGAGATAATTCAAATTGAAATGTAAAAAGTAAAGGAGAATGGGAATTAAAACATGTTTAAACAGTAGATTTTAAAAGAGAAGAAATCAACTTTTATAGTAGTCCTGTGTGTCCAAAAGACAGAATTTAATAAGATAAATGAAGAGATAAAACTCACTTTTTAGTCATTTGATTTGAATGATTTCTTCAGATTTGTGCTCAGGCAAGCTCACAGAACATATATAACAAAAGACATGTAGATACATAAAAACATTAACATTGTTGTAACATTATAACACCATTAACATCATTTCATAACAGTTAGTAACTGTAACAAAAGTCAAACAGAACGAAAAAAAAGGCTAAATTAACAATAAAAATAATGAAACAAATACTAGGCATAAACTAGATAAACTAAGATGTGATTACAGCATATAAAAATGGACCAAATCATGAACAAAATTTTGCTTGAGTAAAATATGCATTCAGTCATTCATGCACATCTCATAAATCTTTGGCAAAACAGTTTTTTAGAGCTCAGACTACAAATGCTGTCATTAAACTTTTGCAAAACTTTTATACTTTATTTTAAAAACCAACATGAAAACAACCTGAATATTAGTTTGCTGGATCACATATACTATATTTAATGTAAAATCCCAATTCCAGAAAAGTTGGGACGCTGTGTAAAATGTAATTAAATGTAAATAAAAACCGAATGCAATGATTTGCAAATTTCATAGACCCACATTTAATTCACAATAGCACATAGAACACATATCAGATGTTGAAAGTGAGACATTTTACCATTTCATGAAAAACTTGATGGCAGCAACGCATCTCAAAAAAGTTGGGACAAGGGCAACAAAAGGCTGGAAAAGTAAGTGGTACTAATAAAAAAAACAGCTGGAAGAACCAATTTGCAACAAACTCACATGACTGGGTATGAAAAGAGCATTTTAGAGAGGCCGAGTCTCTCAGAAGCAAAGATGGGCAGAGGTTCACCAAACTGCGAAAAACTGCATCTAAAAATTGTAGAACAATTTCAGAAAAATGTTCCTCAGTGTAAAATTGCGAAGACTGGATATCCCACCATCTACGGTACATAATATCATCAAAAGATTCAGAGAATCTGGAGAAAAGCCTGTACGCAAGGGACAAGGCCGACGGTCAATATTGAGTGCTTGTGATCTTCGGGCCCTCAGGTGGCACTGCATTAAAAACAGGCATGATTCTGTACTGGAAATCACTGCATGGGCTCAGGAACACTTCCTGAAATTGTTGTTGGTAAACACCGTGCGATCCACAAATGCAAGTTAAAGCTGTATCATGCAAAGAAGAAGCCATATGTCAACAGGATTCAGAAACACCGCCGTCTTCTCTGGGCCAAAATAGATAGATAGATACTTTATTGATCCCGAAGGAAATTGATAGTGCCTTTTGGACAGAGGCAAAATGGAAAACTGTTCTGTGGTCAGATTAATCAAAATTTGAAATTCCTTGTGGAAACCGTGGACGCCGTGTCCTGCAGACTCAAGAGGAGAGGGACCATCCAGCTTGTTATCAGCACACAGTTCAAAAGCCTGCATCTGTGATGGTATGGGGTTACATTAGTGCCTATGGTGTGGGCAGCTTACACATCTGGAAAGGCACTATCAATGCTGAACACTATATAAAGGTTTTAGAACAACATATGCTCCCATTCAGACAGCGTCTAATTCAGGGAAGGTCTTGCATATTTCAGCAAGACAACACTAAACCTGCAGTCCAGACTTTCCACCAATAGAAAACATCTGGCACATCACTTTATTTGTTCCTATGTAGCAAAGACACGCCATTCTGTTTAATAATGTATTTTATATATGCTACATTTACATAAAAAAGTGTTTTCAGAACTGAAATTTCATTAAACTCCACACAAAATTAGACAGCAGAAAAAGTGGACACATATATGTTGACAATGGGCCTCATTCACCAGTATCTTCCTAAGTTTTTTCTCAAATTTGTTTTTAAGAAAGGTCCACATCAGATGTTCTTAAACCGCAGAACTGTTCACACCTTTGTGCTCTTGAGTGTGTGTAGATTCTGTTCTTACCTAAGAACAAATCCCAAATAAGAAAACATTGGTAAATGTCAGAATCTTCGTGAAAACTGTGAGTTTTACGAAGAAAGTTCTTCTTAAGAATAGTTGGTTAATGAGACCCAATGTCTTTAGCTTTACTCAGCTGAGGGTTATAATTGACAATCTACAATAAACAAGCAATCCTTTAGTGTTTATCATGTCTGACAATAAATTTAGCCTATGATATCAAAAATAAAGGCTCTTAAACCCTTATAGAAGCTGAACTCACAATTTTTTTGTCTACTGAAAGTCGACCCATTTTTCCACAAATCTGGGCTATAAACTATAAACAGATGGCGTCTCTTCAGTGATCTGCTCTGTAAAAATTATTTTTAGAGAAAAATACGTCTAAGAGCATCTAAGATTTTTGGCTTTCAGCAGTAAATTGTAAGCATATAGCAATATGTATGATCATAAAACACGTTCTGTTAATTTGAGAGGAGCTTTAAAAATAAATAAATAAATAAATAAATAAAAAATTTACAGTTATTTCATGCAGTTACTAAATAATTTGCCTTACGATTTGGTCATGTAAATTCAGATGGACAAACCAAAATATACCCTGGTCAATAATCTGAGGCTGTAAAAATGTTTGTTGACTGCTCAGTGGTTACACAGGAAACATTACGGGCTGAGAAATAATGCTAACAGAACAACTGCAGAAGTAGTATTTGAACAGTGTTGTACACATAGTTTTGGTAGTACAGTAAATTATTGTTATAAACCCTTTTTCCCCACATTATGCTATTCTATCTACTATGAATTCTTGTGTAGGCTGAGGCAGTTTAACAAGTTGTGCTAAAAAGATGATACTGTAACCTACATCCTGGTGAAGAGTTCAGGAGAGTTTAAAGGGTTTCAGAGAAGTTCAAAGCCTATTCAGTGCAAGAAAGAATGCCTTTTTTTCTGAGTCTGTCTGGAACAACCTGACAAAACAAGCAGTTCTCCTAAACAACAAGGTGAAAAACCTCCACACGTGTTCACATCATATTCATGTGTAAAGAGCTCAGTGCTGATAAAGGGGTCCAGATATACCTCTACATGTTAGCACATTAACAGCATTAAAAAAAAAAAACAAAACAAAGATCCCACCATTTCTAGTATGGTAAGAGACATACAAAGATGTTGTACAGACAGAACCAGTTGTGAAACTTTACTTCATTTTGAAAATGAAACTACTCTACATTCCATACACTCATAAAATGAAGTTGCCAGCATGGTTCTTTGTGTCATTCAATAGAAGAACCACCTTTGATTCCCTAAAGAACCTTTAAACGGATGAACCATGTTTATACATGAGGTGTGATTCATCTTTTTAAAGTTTAGGAACCTCCACATTAGGTAAAGTTTCTATACCAAGTAAAGGATTTTACTAGAACTGTACATCCAAACCATTTAGCAACTTTTTTATAAAGTATAGGTGATGAGTGATACATATATGGCATCACTGTGTTCATTTAGTGTCATTTGAACTTTCTGTGGTCCATCAGATACTTGTGTTGTTGTTGGTTGTTCCCCCAGTGGACGATTTATATCTTTGCAGCTCATTGCTGAAGCTGAAAATAATTCTGCCTTGAGCCTTTTAAGCCTTGAATAAAAACATTTGATTTTTCAGCTGTGTATAGACCAAAATATCTAGAATTTCAGATATTTCAGACATTAATGAGTTCGAAATTCGATTTGCAGGTTCGTTCCTCCTACAAAAAAAACAGTAGCAAATGCAGATTAACCATTGACTTCACCAGCTTGAGTCATTCTGATAAAACTTATTCTGGAGCAAGTATCAGTTAAAGGTTTTTCCTGGAAACATACATTGAAGCCAATGTAGCCATTTAGACAGGGACAGATCTACAGGCTGGCAAGCAGTGGCAGAATCAGGTCTCAGAATATGGTCTGGTCATCATCTAAGTAACAATAAAGAATAAACACAATCAGTTTAAACTAATAACAACACATAATGTATCGTCCATATTTAATACATTTTTCAAACACAGCGCAGATTGGAAAAAGTATGTGAACCCCTTGGCTAATGACTTCAACAAAAGCTAACTGGAGTCAAGAGCTAGCAAACCTGGACACCCACACACACAATCTAAATCGCTTATCCTTCTGGGTCACTGGAGCCTATCCCTGCTGTCATGGGGCAGAAGGCAAGATACACCCTGGACAGGTCGCCAGTCCATCACAGGGCAGACAGACAGACATACACATTCACACCTAGGGGCAATGTAGCATGTCCAATTAGCCTGACTACATGTCTTTGGACTGGGGGAGGAAACCAACACAGACACGGGGAGAACATGCAAACTCCACACAGAGAGGCCCCTGGTCACCTGGCCGGGAATCGAACCCAGGCCCTTCTTGCTGTGAGGCGACTGCGCTACCCACTGCGCCACCGTGCTGGCCCCAAACCCAGCCTCCAGTCAGTGAAATGAGATTGGAAGTGTGGCTTAGAGCTACTTTGACTTACAAAAACCTCTTAAATATTTGGATTTGCTGTTCACAAGAAGCATCTGCTGATATGAACCATGCCTCGCAAAAGAGATCTCAGAGGACCTACAATCAATAATTGTTGATTACCACAAAGCTAAAAAGGGTTACAAAGTCATCTCAAAGAGTTTAGGTATTCATCAGTCCACAGATGATTTAATACTGTCTGCTGTCCCTAGAAGTGGGTGCCCAGCCAAGACCTCTCTGAAAGCACAACACAGAAACCTTAATAAGGTAAAAAGGAACCCTAGAGTAACAGTTAAAGACTTGTCAACAGAGATGCTGTGGCTAAGAGCTGCTCACACCAGACAGCTGAAGAGTATGGCTGAGCTGAAGCAGTGCTGTAAGGTCCAATACTCCTTGAATGTTGTGCGGGTTTGATCCACAGCTACTGGAAGCACTTGCTTGAAGTTATTGCTGCCAAAGGGGGTTCAACAAGTCATTAAATCAAAGGGTTCAGTTACTTTTTCCCCCAGCCCTGAGTGTTCAATTGATGTGCACAATGAAAACATGAAAGATTGTAATTATGTGTGTTTGTCTATACTTGTGACTTGGATGAAGAACAGCTCACATTTTATGACCAATTAATGCAGAAAACTAGGAGATTCTGAAGGGTTTGCACACTTTTTCTTGCCACTGTAAACTGGAGTTGCATTTGTTTATTAGATAATGATCATAATTGTTGTGAACCACAGTTAAAATGACCTCAATGCATGATTCAGAAAAAGGCAGTGCAGTTTAATGAGTGATTCCATTTTGAATAGCAAATTTCCACTGCTTTGAAACTTACACTGAGCCTATAGATTTGTTTTTCTTTCTCATATAGCCTTAGTATGAATATAGTCTGTGTAATATTGCATATAACATCTGACTTATTACAATTGTGAATATGGTTTAGTAATATATTCAGTGCAGTAGAATCTACCAAGGTGTACAAAGTAGTTTTCCAAACACGGTTGATTAGATCCAATATTATACATGCTTACACATACATGACATCTCTGTGTGGTGTAACTTCAACTTTCTCTATGATACCAAATGACCTGTGCTTGTTGTGATGTCTTGGTTGTCTCTTGCTGCCCCTACTAGACATTTAACATTTTTGCAAAGCACTGAAAATGATTCTTCAACCTCTTCTGAAACATCATTTGATTTTCCAGCTGTCTAAATCGAAACTTTATTCACAGAGATAATCGAAGCAGTATATCGTCTCTTTATAGCAGAGTGTCCTTCATAGCATTTTGTCTGTAGTAACTGGTCTTATGGCCATGGGCATGCAAACTGAACCTTAAAAACAGACATACACTCACTCAGCACTTTATTAGGAACACCTCCTTGTTTCCCCACTCTTTGTCCATTTTATCAGCTCCACTTACTATATAGGTTCACGTTGTAGTTCTACAGTTACAGACTGTAGTTCATCTGTTTCTCTGCATACTTTGTTAGCCCCCTTTCACCTTGTTCTTTAATAGTCCGGTCTAGGCCTGGACGATGTCTAGAAACAATTGGCACAATATTTACTAGTTAAAAAATCATGATTATTGATAATATTGCCCCACTGACCCCAAAACAAATACATGCTGTTCATGGCAGCTTTGTTCTACTTTCTGTTCTATTTTAGTTTATATGCTTTTTTTAACATTAACTCTTTTATATACTTTTAAAATCTGTAATAAATCTCATGTATTAAATAATATGATACTGACTATCCCAACATCTTTTGATATCTTCATCACCTGCCATTATAATAAACGTTGCAGAAAACACATGCATTCATGAGCTTCTGCTGCAGATTTTCGGCAAATTGTGTCGTAATAGTGCTCCCTGCTGGAGAAACCTGCAGGTTGTTTCCAAAGCTCTGCTCACATGCTTTCCACATTAACATGGTGACCAGTGAGTGGACACAGTGTTTAAAAAGTTTTTTGTGTAGAGTATAGAGTAAACCTGTGTTCTGTGAGTTTTCTCTGTAGAGTAAACCTGTGTTCTGTGAGTTTTTCTGTGTAGAGTGAAACCTGTGTTCTGTGAGTTTTCTCTGTGTAGAGTGAACCTGTGTTCTGTGAGTTTTCTCTGTGTAGAGTGAACCTGTGTTCTGTGAGTTTTCTGTGTAGAGAGAACCTGTGTTCTGTGAGTTTTCTGTGTAGAGTGAACCTGTGTTCTGTGAGTTTTCTCTGTAGAGTGAACCTGTGTTCTGTGAGTTTTCTGTGTAGAGTGAACCTGTGTTCTGTGAGTTATTTGTGTAGAGTGAATCTGTGTTGAGTGAGATTTCTGTCTATATCTCTACAACCTGTGTTCAGTGCAGAGTCAGCCTGTGTTCCCGTGAGCTTTCTTTGTGGAGTGAGTACTGTGCACTGTGGATATTTATATTGAATTTGAATTTAACATTAATATTCTTTGTTGTTCTTCTAGGTAAGTACTAGTTCTGCCAAGACAAGTTTACACTGTCGACAGGAATATATCGAGTAACATGGGGATTTTCATTTGTCCACTCACTGAACTTCAATTACATTTATTTTCTGGAAACTTGAATTCTTTGAGTAAAATATCAGTTTATTTTTTTAAAACAAGTGAACTTGCTAAAAACTGTTGTAAAGTATAGGCTACAATTCTGATTTACAGCATAGTGCATGCCAGTGTACTTGACCTTTAAAATGAATCTGATTCAGACTTAATCTAGAACTTGCAGTTCAAGATTGCGGTCTGCATCCTGACATTACATGAGATATGTAACAAAAATACGACTATAGGACAAAAATACAAGAAAAATAATTATTTAATTACATTCTTATTATAGCCTCACTTACGTATTCTTCCTACATAACCTTCTTTTTAATTGGTATTACTTACATCAACTTCAGACATTAACTTCAAGATATCAATCATGTTTATGTGGTCAAAGGATTAAAATAGCAGGTGTGTATTTCCATTGTATTCGTGTAGGAAAGAGATATTTTTGAAAAATGTCACAACATGAAAGTTTTCATGCAGAGAATGTACTGAAACATAAATAATGTATATATTTATTTTAAAGTGGAAAAACAAAATCAGCATTACAGTTAGTTTAGGAATAGAAAATAAAACCATCTTCTTGACTGACACTTATTTTAAACTTCTTTGTGCAACATCAGAGACACAGTAACAACATTGACTTGCCAGGGACCTACTAGATCATTTCAATCAGCCAGACCTTGCTGGCCTTATGTAAACAAGACTTTGACCAGTTTAACTTGCATTGCGACAGGTTTTAATGTTATAAGAAGTTGGAAGGAGTTCTAAGGAACATAGATTTGGCCTAGATAGAATTTCAGAAGGAAGCTGATTTTCAGAATGAATCTGTCATGTTTTGACTATGATGATCAGAATGTATCTGTCACGTTGTGATCATGACTAACAACCAGGGAGGAACTGGACGTTGGCACATTCCCTCTGCTGGATCAGATCATACCTGCAAAAAAGATAATCAGTGGTGAGATCACAAAGATAATAAATATAAAGTTCATAAGCCTTTCAGGCAAAAGGTCACTGAGACCAGCTGGTCTTTATTCCACTTTATATATATATAGACCTTAAAAGGACTAATGTACTTCATTATTATTATCACACTTTATTACTATATCTAATGCATTCAAAATGTACACACACGTTAGCTCTGTAAGCATGGTGTTGCCATATGGCAACAGTGACATCTTACATTTTTTGTCTGTCTACCATGTAAAAGATTTTTTCTTTTCCTTATGGCATGCTTTTTGAGGGAGGTTACAATTTCTTTTTCATTAATAAAACCATCGTAGATTTTATTAATTTATATTAAACCAATAAAATATTATTGTTGCCACGTGGCAACATCATGTAACAGTGGAACTACAACCTGCAATGCATACAATAGGAGTGAAGGAAGAAATGAAGTGGACTTGATGGTTTTATTAGTATAATTATTTTCATACTCCTTTCTGTGTTCTTAAAACATTTATGCATATTTGGCTGTTATGCATGTGTTGTTTTCATACCTGTATGATAAATCTGGCTGTGTTCATTGGCAGTATATTAGTTTACTCCCACTGTATGTGTTGTAGATTACAGTTCTACAGTCATACACTGTTGCCATATGGCAACAAAATGCAAAGAACGCCATAAAATATCTCTCTGTTAATTATGCCATTTTTAATTGGAAAACCATAAAACAGTTTTCCAAGTGCATTTCATAATCTATACAGTGAAGGGTTGAATATATTATGTTCAAATTTTGTAGTCTTGGAACAATATTTTTGGTTCTTTGGCATAGTTCATTTTATACATTAGACTGTTATGAATGAATATCAGGTTCAGATATCGTTTTTTTACTTACATCTTCTTGATGAGCTTATTAGCCTCTGTACGAACATTGCCATTTGCCATCCTGTAGAGATATAAAGCAAGTTATTATTTGATTTGATTAAAATAAGCAATTATTATGGATCTCCGCAGATTTTTCACAAATTCTGCATGTTTCAGTCATTAAGATTTCAAAGCAAAGTCATTCGAAATTGTTCGCAGTGGAGGAGATAAGAACCAGAAGTCTGAAGTGTCTAATTCCTCTAAAAGCTACCTTACATGAATCGTGGAATGGTTATGATAGCATTGCCTGCTGCTGACACTGTTTCACGAGATAAGGTTGCAGCCTAAAAGGTGCCCATCAATGGTGGAGGGGTACATACAGGATAATGTAAGTAAATAATACCCGAAGAAAACGTATTTTTCCAGATTAACCACTATTTTACCATCATCAACTTTACATATAAAACACAGAAGATGTGTAGATTCACTGGTGGTTTTTGATAGTAAATAAAATGGCTATATTGCTATATGTGTTGTGGACATCGTGACCCCTGGTTTCCACCAAAACCAGTCTAAAGAAATCTTTAAAGTCACTAGAAGTCACTAAGTCTACAGTGCACCATTTCACGTTAAACCAAAAAACGTACATCTCAGACATTGAATCATGCAGAAATGTAAAACAATCAGCGGAATTCTCCTTAAAGAAACGTATGATAGAAGTAAGTAGGCCTGTGGCATCAAGACAAATCATATTTTGTCACACATCCTTTGCATATATACACACATAGTTTTAATGCAATGTTGAGTTTTTTGTGAAATTCACTGTTGTTTACTTACACATTGTTAATGATGGTCCCGACACAGGCAATGTCATCAGTGATGTCGTCATCAATCAGCCCTTTAAAGAGAGATTACATTTTAAATAAGGTAAAGATGCCCTTACTTCATTCGTTCACAGCCCTTTCTCAAAGAAACAATTGCAATCCTAAAGGTATAGCAAAGTAAATTAAAGTAAAATGACTGCTACAAAAAGAGGAGAAACTAGAGGCACCATAAACAAATGTACTCACTATCGCAGCTCAGTCCGCAAAGATTGAGTGAAGGCTTGCTGCCTGACACGCAAGCGACGCGGTCTGCCAACTGGAACAACCCGTAGAGCGTCCACACCCCATCACTGTGCTGCTCGAGTTCTTCGTGGCTTGTTTCACCTCTGGGCTTGTTTGACCTGGGCTTGCGATCACCATGTTCATGATTGCGGTCATGGTCATGGTCATGTTGTTCTTGGTTCACTTTGGAATTGTTGGAACTGGGACCTGGTAGAGAAGAATTAGATGCAGGAGGCTGGAAAGAGGGAAAAGGCTTGGGGGATCTTTCTCTTTCCTTGAGGGACCTTGGCTTGCGACCACCGGCACCAGGCCGACCACCATCACCAGGCCGACCACCAGCACCAGGATGACCACCATCACCAGGACGACCACCAGCACCAGGACGACCACCAGCACCAGGAGTAACACCGGCACCAGGAGTAACGCCAGCACCAGGAGTGGAGTTGGACATAGAGGGGGCCATAGATGAACCAGGACGAGAGATGTCAGTGTGGTTGCCTACGGAGTCATCTTCTTGAGAGTCATCATGGTGTGGACGAGGGTGAAAAGGCTTGAGGGGTCCTTGTGCATGCCTGGGCTTGCGGCCACCAGCACCAGGAGAACCACCAGCAACAGGACGATCACCAGGATGACCACCAGCACCAGGAGAAGAGTTAGACACAGGGGGTGCCAAAGATGGCTTGAAGGATCCTTGTGCATGCCTGGGCTTGCGGCCACCAGCACCAGGACGACCACCAGCACCAGGACGACCACCATCACCAGGACGACCACCAGCACCAGGGGTAACACCAGCACCAGGAGTGGAGTTGGACACAGAGGGGGCCAAAGATGAATCAGGACGAGAGATGTCAGTGTGGTTGCCTATGGAGTCATCTTCTTGAGAGTCATCATGGTGTGGACGAGGGTGAAAAGGTTTGAGGGGTCCTTGTGCATGCCTGGGCTTACGGCCACCAGCACCAGGACGACCACCAGCACCAGGATGACCACCTTCACCAGAATGACCACCAGCACCCGGACGACCACCAGCACCAGGAGTAACACCGGCACCAGGAGTAACGCCAGCACCAGGAGTGGAGTTGGACATAGAGGGAGCCATAGATGAACCAGGACGAGAGATGTCAGTGTGGTTGCCTACTGAGTCATCTTCTTGAGAGTCATCATGGTGTGGACGAGGGCGAAAAGGCTTGAGGGGTCCTTGTGCATGCCTGGGCTTGCGGCCACCAGCACCAGGAGAACCACCAGCAACAGGACGATCACCAGGACGACCACCAGCACCAGGAGAAGAGTTAGACACAGGGGGTGCCAAAGATGGCTTGAAGGATCCTTGTGCATGCCTGGGCTTGCGGCCACCCTCACCAGGGCGGCCACCAGCACCAGGACGACCACCATCACCAGGACGACCACCAGCACCAGGAGAACCACTAGCGCCAGGAGCAGATTTAGACACAGGGGGTGCCAAAGATGGTTTGAAGGGTCCTTGTGCATGCCTGGGCTTACGGCCACCATCACCAGGACGGCCACCAGCACCAGGACGACCACCATCACCAGGACGGCCACCAGCACCAGGACGGCCACTGGCACCAGGACGACCACCATCACCAGGATGACCACCAGCATCAGGGCGACCACCAGCACTTGGAGAAGAGTTAGACACAGGGGGTGGCAAAGATGGAGCAGGGATTTGGTTGACTGCGCTGGTGTTGAGGCCAGAAGTCAACTCTGCATGGCACACAACTTTAAAAGAAGAAAAAAAAATGTTAATCCTTACTTTGTTGCCATCCATTTTCATCATTTATCCAGCACTGTTCATAAAGTAATGAAGGCTTTTGTTTCTTGCAGTGCTGTACATGTAGATATAGACAGGCAACCAGTGAATAATGAATAGTGAATCAGCCAAGGCAGATGTCGATTTAGCCTTTGATAGGATTTTTTTACATTGTTGTACTACAGTGTTATTGTCCTGTAATTGTGCTTATGCTTTCCCCCTAGCCTTTTTGAGCACCACCTATTGCAACTTATTTTCAGTTTTTTAGGTTTTAGTGCTAACATCTTGTTATGTTTGTCATGCATTTCAGTACACATTTTTTATTTTAAATCTAATATTTATTTGTTTGATATGAGATAGTTATAAGGAATGAACAAGGACAACGTCAGGAAGAACCATTTCTATTCTGTCCACCCCAACAATGCATGCTTTGCTGAGTACTTTTTAAAGGTACACACTGTACTTTTAGCAAAAAGGGTTCTGTATTGTACCAAGAAAACGGTTCTTTGGTTTCTTGTAACAACCTGTTTGGTGCTGTATAGGACCAATATAAAAGGCCCTTTAAAGAACCATATACAACAGGTTTTCTAACATTGAGAAGGAACATTTAACCACGCAAAGAAGTAGTAGCAGTAGTATAATGGAACACTTTTTGGTGCCATATAGAACAATTTTTAGAAAGATCATAAACCACCATATAGAAGACATTCGTGAAGAAAAAACATTTAACCAGGATTGAAATGGTTCTTTGAGTTGTCACAGTTCTATATATAACCATTGCCTTAACTAAAGAATCTTTGAAGAACGCCTTTTTAAGGGCGTAGCAGTAACTCACTCTTGGCCACCTCGCTGATGCGGTCCGGCACGGTTGCATTCAGGGTCAGGTTCAGTCGTTGCTGCAGATCACATTTGTTCAGGACCAGCCCCTCAGTCAGACTGGGAGCCAGTAACACCACCACCAACACCGCCAACATTTCCACTCCAACACGAACCTGCATGCTGTGTACGATTGTATCTCCTCTGTAAATTCTGCAGGTACTGTGTGAGTTACCTGGAATATAAAGCTCTAGCATCCCGCCCTCTCATGTTTCTCCACACCTTTCAGCCCTCCTACATTCCTACCTGCACTACCACTTCTGCTTCTGCTGAGTCACTAGGATCAAGGAAATCAGGCTTGTAGTATGTATAGAATGCAAAAGATCTATAGATTGGGCTTGTGTTATTTTTCACCTGCCAGACTAGTGTCTTGTAAAAGCGGTTCTGCATCATGTTTTAAAAAACTTGGCTTGGTGTCAAGATTATTGCTTTTTCTGTTCTCTCGCTGCTTTTCAGTGCAGCCAATAGATGGGTTATAGGATGCCATTCTAAAAATAAAGAGTGTTTGAAAGCTACAATAAACCTAGACTGAAAAAAGTAAAGAAGAAAAGACGTTTTAAAAGGTCTTTATTGCTGCTTTTTTTCAGAGAAGAGAGTAGATGTTTTCCATTCATTACAAAAGATCCCTGAACTATTTTTAGACTACTTTCACGAACAAGATGTGAGAGTTTATGGGACAGCAAACTGGAACCTGTTCTGTGATTATAGGTAGAGTGTTCCAAGCTGCACATAACTAAAAAGCAAAAGGCTGCTAACAGTAATACTATACGCCACTGTAAGTTGTAATTATGGGTGCCCAGCACCACATTAGTGTAGAGATGGCTTACATTTTTAATAATAAAGGTGCCAAAAAGGGTTCTGTAGAGTGCTGGTTCTCAAACTGGTCCTCAAGGCTCACAGACAGTCCACTTTTGTTCTGTCCCAACTCGCAGCACATAGGGATAAAGCATATATCTGAACCGTAACAGATTCAATAATTGCTTAAGTAAATCAGGTTGCCTTATTTAAACAGGATAGTTATGCAGGGCTGTTTATCATTATAGAAGTGCCTTTTTTGATCATTTCATTTATAATTTGGACAATGTGTGTCTACATATTTAGCTAGCTCTCCAGCTGGGTCTACAGTATAATAACTGACTGTTATTAGCATAAGAACAAATCTATCAGACACTAACATGATTTCTACTAAAACACAACTTCACACAAATGTGAGAGCGTAAAAATATGAGCTAAAAACAGTTATTTAGAATCATCTGTAGAGTCAAGCAAAATGGACATTTTCTGTAAAAATAACAGCAAAAAAATCTTGTTCTCTAGCTGCTATACTGGTGAATAAATGTAAAGGTATGTTTATTTGCCAATGTAATGTTAGTGCTATTGGAGTGTTTTAGCAAATATGCTGTGTATGAAGTTATACAGGGTGTCCAAAAAAAATTTGACATCATATGAGATGAGGTGAATATCTAAGTAACTACATGTTCTGGGCAAACGAAATTAAATAGGCTTCATGTTGAACAATACAAGATTTATTTACCAAAATTTGAACAAGGAATTCAGAGGGATGTAGATTTTATAACCGATTTCACAGCTTCACAAATGTAATATCTTCTGATACTGGTGGTCGTCCAGACCCCTTTGCGCTGCACAGACAGCCTTCCTCTTTGAATTTTTTGTGCCGTGTCCAAATCTGCTTTCCAGTTGGTGCATTTTTTATTGAATTTTCTCTAAAATGCACGCTGCACACTCTTGTTTTGACTGTGTTTGAGCATATTCTAACACACAAAATGCCTTTTCACTTCACTTCAACCTGAAAAAAAAAAAACATTAAAAATTAAACTTGGTTAGTTTTTACAAATTTTGTTAAAATTTGAGTTCATTTGAGGGAGAATTGGCTGTTATTAGACTACGAAATGATGTCAATTTTTTGGGACACCCTGTCTAATTTAACTTTTAAGTGATAATTCTAAAAATAGCAATTGACACATCAAAATATTATTTTAGGTTACATTCTGGTGCACTTATTGGTCTTGTACTAGTGTGTCCTCACCTGGAACAGTTCAAAACACTGATAATACATACAGTTATATACTTAAAATACTAATAAATAGTAGTTAAGGCTGCTTATACAGCATGATAAGGGAAACATTCTAAGTCATGCAGCATCTCTTAGCTTAGGAACTGAAGTTTGTTAGGCTCTATCCTTCTCTTTTTCAGTCTGTTTGGTCTAAAATAAAATGATAAAGCTCCAAAGTGAGAAATGTGACCAATCACAAAACAGTTCAGAGCTGTCACCAGAGCAACAGAATGCAATTAAACACAAAAAATTGATTAGTAACTAAGTGTTTGATGACTAAAATGAAACTGAGTAGGTTACTAGATTACAGATATTGAGAACTATGCCTTGATGATTTCATTTCCAGCCAAAACAATCATTAAGTAGGAGTTGTTAATTTTTCAGGAGATATTTCTGATGCATCAGGAAGAGAAAAGTCAAAAGGAAATAACTGAAACATAAACAGGAGTTAAAATGAGGTTAACAATGATTAAAAACATTAAAAAGTGGAACTCCAACCAACCATCTGCAAGGCCTGCCAGACCACCAAAACTGTCCCCATCAGATAAACAGCACTTAAATCTTTCATCTTTGAGAGAGAGGAGAAAATCAAGCTCCACTCTGGATTCAGATCTGAAAACATCCACAGGAGTTTCTGTCCATCCTTCCACCGTGAGACACTCAGCACTATGAGTCTGAAAGGATGTGTAGCTGTTAAGAAGCTTTTACTGAGAAAAGGAGACAGACAGAAAAGAAGAAATCAAAGAAAGAGTTTCTGGTGTTTCTCCGAACAATGGACTGACCACCCCAGAGTCCAGACATCTCTGAATGGGTCATGAGATACAACCAACTTCTAAGACTGAACTTTGGAGGTGTGAAAAATATCCCTGCAGATTTCGCAGAAAAACTGCAAGTGAGTCTCCTGAAAAGAATAGAATGTGTAATGAAGGCAAAAGGAGTGAACACAACAAATACTGAAAATATGATATTATGTTTAGTTGTTAAGGTTATGTGTAATTAACATATTTTCCATATTTTCCATTGTGATTCTTATCTTGGATGTGCAGTACTACGAAAAACACAATTTGGTATAGAATCTTTATATTATGCGGATGTTCTTTACATTTTTACACTTTAAAATCACAAGTTTGTTACATCCTAAAGCTTATTATTCTGTAACTACATGAACTACAGTGCAAACTGACTGAGCTATTCTTCAGTTGTAATGGTGTGTAGTAGACGTTTGGACCCACTGGCATCTCCTGGAAATTTAAGGGGTTTACAAAGGTTCTTCACACTTGCACATCTCATTTACAAAAGTATTTATTAATAGAACTATTCACTGACAAGTTGTTCAGGGAATGAAAATTGGTTCCTCTTCAGAATTGCTGCGAAAGAACTCTTATTGGCACCTTTTCAAAAGTCAAAAATACCGAACACTGCTAAACATAAATACACACTGAACGCACAGAAAAGGTCACAAAAGACAGCATCTGTGTTGTGAGATAGATGCAAATATTTGCACAGTGTGCAAATCTGCAGAAAGTAGTGCAGTGTATACTCAGTCAACATGCAGCACATGACAACTGGAGCATAGTTTTAGGGAAATGCGGTGATGCAAAATAGCTGGGACAGATGCAAATAGCTCACACATCTCTCAGTCCATCTTTGAGCCTCATCTTTGTGTGACTGTGGGCAAGTCCACAAAATTCAGATAAGACACTATGATGGGCTTACAGAATTCAAAACTAAAAGCCACCATTTGCAGCTATGGTGGTGGTGTGTTAGTGTGTGTTGTGCTGGTCTGAGTGGATCAGACACAGCAGAGCTGCTGGAGTTTTTAAACACCGTGTCCACTCACTGTCCACTCTATTAGACACTCCTACCTTGTCAGTCCACCTTGTAAATGTATAGTCAAAAACAATAGCTCATCTGCTGCTGTTTAGTTTGTGTTGGTCATCCTCTAGTCCTTCAGCAGTGGTCATAGGACGCTGCCCACAGGACGCTGTTGGCTGGATATTTTTGGTTGGTGGACTATTCTCAGTCCAGCAGTGCCACTGACATGCTTAAACTACAAGAAAACTCTCTCCATGAGATGTTTCAGTCTGGCTTTAGACCCTTTCACAGTACTGAAACAGCATTAACTAGAGTAGTAAATGATCTCCTTGTGTCTCTCGATGGTGGCCATGTTTGCATACTAGTCCTTCTAGATCTCAGCACAGCATTTAATACTATCGACCACAATATCCTCCTTGATAGGCTGGAAAATCTGGTTGGTATTAAAGGACAGGCTTTGTCCTGGTTCCGATCCTATCTAACTGACCGTTATCAATTTGTCAGTGTGAACAGTAAACACTCTGATCGTACACTAGTACAGTATGGTGTCCCCCAAGGATCAATGCTCAGACCGCTGCTTTTCTCCCTGTACAGGCAACCTCTTGGTAACATAATTTGCAGGTTCGGCATTAGCTTTCATTGCTATGCGGACGACGCGTAGTTCTACATATCTGGTAAACCAAATGAGGCTCTGGATCTAGATAAACTTGAAGCATGTGTTAAAATATCAAACGCTGGACGACCAACAATTTCCTTCTTCTTAATCCTAACAAAACTGAGGTCCTACTACTTGGACCCAAAGCAGAGAGATCTCAACTCTCCAAATTTGAGCTAAGTTTAGATGGCCACATGGTCATTCCAAGCACCACTGTAAAAAATCGAGGCTTGGACCCGGATTTATCTGCAAAGCTGCTTTGTGACAACACCTGTTGTAAAATGCGCTATAGAAATAAACTTTGACTTGACTTGACTTAAAAACTCCAGCAGCACTGCTGTGTCTGATCCACTCAGACCAGCAGTGACACACAATAATACACCACCACCACATCAGTGCTGATAATGATGCACCACCCAAATAACACCTGCTCTGTGGTGGTCCTGTGGGGGTCCTGACCACTGAAGAACAGGGTAAAAGGGGGCTAACAAAGTATGCAGAGAAACAGATGGACTACAGTCTATAACTGTAGAACTACAAAGTGCACCTATATAGTAAGTGGAGCTGCTAAAATGGACAATGAGCGCAGAAACAAGGAGAGGGTTTTAATGAAGTGGCCGGTCAGTGTAGTGTATGTGCATGTGTATATATATACACAAATAATTTAG